TTGTTTGTGATGCATCCCACCACCGCTGTATCATCTGCAAACTTTACAATGTGACAGCCTGGATGGGTAGCTGCACAATCATATGTGAGCAGAGTAAACAGGATGGGGCTCAACACGCATCCCTGAGGAGAGCCAGTGCTGAGGGTTATGGTGGAGGAGGAGAAGTTGTGGATCCTCACTAACTGTGGTCTGTTTGTTAAGAAGTCTAGTACCCAGTTGCAAATGGAGGGGCTTAGTCCTAGTGTGGATAGTTTGTCCATCAGGGTTTGGGGGATCATGGTGTTGAAGGCGGATGTGAAGTCCACAAAGAGCATACGGACGTAAGAGTGTTTCTGCTCCAGGTGGTTGAGAGCAGTGTGGACCACAGAGGAGATGGCATCCTCTGTTGATCAGTTCTCACGGTATGCATACTGATGAGGGTCCTCGTTGATGTTGATGGTTGTTTTGATATGAGTCATGACCAGTTTTTCGAAGCATTTAGCGACTTTCTGGGTGAGGGCCACTGGCCGATAGTCATTCAAATTCAAATGAGGGCACAGATTGTAGTGTAAAGAGCTTTGAGTATCTTGATCAGATAGAAAGGTGCTATATAAGTACAGTCCATTTACCATTAATTTTGTTTACAACTTTTCAGCATCAAAAGAACAACAAAAGACTGAATCCACAGAGCCTCTTAAGGTTGTCAAACCTGGGCAGGAGGAGAAAGGTACAATTCAGGGCAAAGGTCAGAGCACAACAACTCCTGACGGCAAAGGTAAGTATGTTAAAATATTTTAACTGTTTTTAGCTCATGACGTCCAACTGGTTTTTTTAAGGCTTGCCATAAACCTTCCCATTAAAATGAGTTGCTGTTAATAAATTGAATCTCAACGTTGTGTTCTTCTCTTTCAGGAAAGGAGAAGGGACTCATCAGGTTGAAACCACGCAGCACGCACGAGCTTTCTGTAGAACAGCAACTCTACTACAAGGAGATCACAGAAGCATGCGTCGGCTCCTGTGAAGCCAAGAGAGCGGTAAGTCTTACCTGTTTTCTATTATTGTGGCTTTCTGATACATAAAAAAGGTTTGTCAGCTCAGTCATCCAGGTAGATAAAAATGATTTAACCTTTTTTGTTTTTTTTCTGATGCATGTTAAAGAAAATGTTGTTCAGGTCGTATTTCACTGCGTTACAACAGCTGCTGACTAGTTGAACAGCATTCTCAAGAGAGTCTCTAAAACGTCTTGTGATGTTTTGTGGAAGTTGTCAATTTTCTCTGAGGTTCACTCTCGTAGTTTGAGTTTTGAACACATTCAGAAAAACTGATTATTTTGAGAGAAAATTTGTCACACAGAGTTGTCGCATGCTCAGTTTCGTTAAATATCCAAACCACCTCAAGGGCTCAGAACTTGCATTTTGACAACAGCTCAGGAGATTGCTTCTGATAGAAACCCCATCTAAAAGCCATACAGATGATAAATACTAACTATTTAATAAATAAATAAAGTTTTAACTGTGCTAAAATAGGTATGACGTGAGTGGAGGAGGGCAATGAAACAGTGTGCACAGCCTAGAATACATCTGCACACACAAATAAGGTTTTCACTGGTCACTTGGTCACAAATACAGAAAAATTGTGTATTTTCTTGCAATACTGAGTCTCAGTCCAGTGAGAAACTTTAAAGTGTTTGTATTCTACACATACTCAGGTGGCTTTATTACTGCTGGTAGGAAGTAGTTGGTACAAACTGAGCTGAGTCTTTTTAGTGAAAAGCTTTTCATCTTGCTGCCTTTGTGGTTTTGGTTGAATAAATGTTTTCTGTTTCATGCAGGAAGCCTTACAGAGCATCGCCACTGATCCTGGATTGTATCAAATGCTTCCAAGATTCAGTACATTTATTTCTGAAGGAGTAAGAAAGTTTTCAACCTCTTCTAACGCTTCAAAACGTCTCACTTCACATTAAAAGTCCAAATGTTTTCTCAGCTAAAAGTGCTGACTTTGCTGTCCTTGCAGGTCCGTGTAAACGTGGTGCAGAACAACCTGGCTCTTCTGATTTATCTCATGCGGATGGTCAAAGCTCTAATGGACAATCCCACCCTGTATTTGGAAAAATACGTGAGTAAAGACCCGTATCTAATTAAGAACGGCTACAATCTTGTATATGATTTTAACTGAGCAATGTTTTTATTTTATTTGTAGCTGCATGAGCTCATCCCAGCTGTGGTCACCTGTATTGTGAGTAAGCAGCTGTGTTTACGGCCAGATGTGGACAACCACTGGGCTTTACGAGACTTTGCTGCTCGCCTGATGGCCCAAAGTTGTAAAACATTCAGCACTACCACCAACAACATTCAGTCACGTATTACCAAAACTCTTACTAAGGTGAGTTCTTTTGGGCTGTGAGAAACTTTGAAGTGATTCCTTTAAACATAAATAAACATTTTCTTTGTGTTGAGACAGAAAATCTATGGAAAGTTTTTGGTTCTGAGAAGTTTAAGTTTAGACTATTAATTCTGGTCTCTGATGTCATAAATCTGTAGTAATAACTCTTCTTTTTTAAAACGCTTTTACTGCACCTGCTAAACAGATTAATGTTATTTATTTATGTTTTCAGAGTCTGTTGGATGATAAAACCCAGTGGACGACACGATACGGCTGCATCGCTGGCCTCGCTGAACTTGGAGCTGACGTGAGTGCAGCACTTTTTTTAAGTTCTTTGTTAAATAATAGTCAACTGTCTTCAGACTTTTTTGTTTGCACTTTTAGGACAAGGTAAAAAAAAAAGTAAGTTGTGAAAAGACTGATGTTTACTTGAGGAGGGTTTTGTCAAAAAAAAAAAAAAAAAAAGACGTGCTTTGTGGTAAAGCGTCTTTTGTGTTTAACACATTTCTAGCTCTTGCAGTGTTTTTTTCCTCGTGTTTGTTGTCAAATAAAATTGTTCCTCTTCCTCCTAAATCACATGTAGGAGCAGATTCTAAGAAACTGAATCGAAGGCAACTGGACTTTTCCTTTTTCATACTTGAAGATGTGACGCCTGGAGCTTTCTCTGGAGGATGGAGTATCTATAATACTTTGAATAGATCTCTCTTGTAAACGAGTCCTCGAGGCTCAATGAGACTAACCTATATAAATAAAGGTTGAATGAATGAATAGTACAAGAGCATGAGAGATTATAAAGGTCAAAAGTGAAACGTCCTCATCAGTTATATAAATAAAAAGAAATAGTTCAGTTGTCTTCGAATCATCCTGGATGCTGCCAAGTTTATTTGCTAGTTATCTGAAAAGTGCCTTGCTGAGCAAAGGAAGCTCAACCCAAAACACTAACTTCTTCTTTTTGTCTGTAGGTGATAAAGACGCTGATCCTTCCCCGTCTTTCTGTAGAGGGAGCTCGCATCAAAGCCGTGATGGAAGGACCCGTCGTCTCCAACATTGACAAGATAGGAGCTGAACACGTTCAAAGTCTCTTATTGGTAATAAAAGTTGATCTCGTACAGCATTCATAAGGCAGAACGTGAACTAAAGCCTCTTTCACAAACACGTTCCTCTACAAGCTGATCGTTCAGAACTCATTAAAACCAGTCGTGTTCTGTAAATGTGTGAGCTTTAGTTAATGCAGCTGGCATCACAGAACCATTGAGGCGAGGAGCTTAACTCAGCCAGGTTGATGTAGAGCACGTTGAGCCCACGCATAAACTTAGAGATCGCGCCGTACACCCTCTAGTCCTGACGTCGGCCTTTCTTTTCATATGTTGCTGCAATGTTTCAGGAAGAAGTTCCTAAATTGGATTAAAGCTCCTTTTATTGGATGCAGCTAAAAATTGGTAAAAAAAAAAATACCAGTTTTGTTTAAATTAGTGGAGGAATAAAGAAGTTGTGCCGTTTTGGAGGAATAAAAGATGATGCAAACTTCTGCTGACAGGATCAGATCATCCTGATTCCAGGAATGGATCTTATGCGTCTGATGTGTGACTTAATCGCTGGAATCTGCTGCTACCTCACCTGGCAACTCTGAGACGTACAGCAGAGGTCCCCCCCGCCCCTGTGGTTTTGTGAAAGAGGCTGTTAATAGTTCGCGACTCACACAATTGTTGCTTTGAAAGTTGTACAAACTGCTTTGTTACATTTTCACAGAAACATTGCGCGACCGTCATTGCCAAGGTACGACCTCAGCCCGACAACGTGGAGCAGTACCGGACAGACTACGGCTACCTTGGACCCATGTTGTGCTCCCACGTTATAAAGGCCAGAACTCAGGCGGCGCTGCAGGCTCAACAAGTCAACAGAACCACGTTAACAATCACACAGGTACGCTGGGTTCTGCTTTAATGCAAGTCAATTAATTTGCTCTTAATTAAATAAAGATGATATAAAAAGTAATTTTATGTGATTTGAAATTAATAATGTTGTCGTTCTTGCAGCCTCGTCCCACACTTTCTGTCTCACAAAGTGGACTAAGTGGGTCAGGGGGCCCTCGCACTCCCAGTATCATTAAGGTTCCGAGCTCCCTCACCCTCATGTCCCCAAGACCAGGTACGCCATCACAGCCGTCTCCCCCGGCAACCAAGTATATCGTCATGGGTACCAGTGCAGGAGCCGCATCAACGCAGCAGGTAATTCCCATGTAGACATTTATCCTTTTTATTTTTTTAAATATAAATGTATATACAAACAAACGCTTAATAAATCTTTTCTGTCCTTTCTTTAGGTCATCACCCTCAGCTCTTCCCAGTCGGCTTCGCCGGTAACCAGCACTGTTCCCAGTGCCACCTCCACGTTACAACCATTGGTTAAACTGGAGTCCAGCGGCGCTCCTGGACTCACGGCCTCTCGCCCCATGCAGAAGTACATAGTCGTGTCTCTGCCCTCGTCTGCCTCCTCCTCTTTGGAGACGAAGAGCTCCGTGTTATCAACCTCAATTTCCTCAGCTTCGCTGGATGGGAGTATCAAACTCGAGCGATCCGAGTCTCCCGGAGCGAGCACTCAGTCACCTCACTGATACCTGTACAGGTCGCGCAGATCCTCGTCAAAAAGCTGATCTGTCTGGATTGAACCTCAAACTCTGGAGTGGGATGAAGAGCAACGTGAACTCTTGATGATGAAGAGCAAACGTGAACAGATTTTGTAAATATCTTGATGCCAAGTGAAAGCTGGTCAATCTATGAGATCTCAGTGTTTCACTATATATTCTAACTGAATTTTTTTTTACCCTAAAATAAATTGATTTTGTATGAAATTTTGCTTCTAGGTGTGTTTAAATTGAATGAATAAAAAAGAATAAACCTTTTAAAAATCTTTTATTTGCTGCCACACAAAGAAACAATCATAGTGAAATAAAATACATAAAAGTACCTGGATATTAAATACAACCTGCACTGATGAGAATTACAGTATATAATATACAATTCTTTAGTTCGTGATTCTCAAGTTTTACTGTTAACTAGAAAGTTAAGCAGGCATGTATCTGGCATTACCTCGAACGCCTTGTCATTACTGTTAATAGCTTCTTTTTTTTTTTTTTTTTTTTACTTTAGGTTTGATGTTTTCCAAAGTCTTAGCTACAGCATTTATAGTTGTAATTTTTTTTTTTTTTTAAAGTGACTGGCAGCCTGAACACCGTGGTTGTTGGAAGCGTGTACAAAAGAAAAGCAAAGATACCAAAAGCTGCTGAATGGCATTAATATGTGCAACGGTAAAAAAATCTTCATTTTCTTAAGATTATATTGTACGGATGCATGAGAAATCTGAAACTATGCACATCAAAACAAAACAAAAAACTTGTCATAGGTTAGAAGTATGTAAGGCTTGTAAGTAGCTTAATAAAAGTTTTAATTAGGAGAGATTTAATTTACCAACTATACAGGTCCTTCTCAAAAAAATTAGCATATAAAGGTCATTATTTTCCATAATGTAATGATAAAAATGAAACTTTCATATATTTCAGATTCATTGCACACCAACTGAAATATTTCAGGTCTTTAATTGTTTTAATACTGATG